CATCTTTAATAAATCATTTACGCACTGTTCCTTTAACCCCTTTTGTTACTATTGGCAATTTACTTTGTATATACTTATAGTTGTAATAATAACTAATTTTTTATTTTTTTTTTGAATAGTTAAATTAGACGCGATACAATTTTGAACATATAGACATCATATAGACATTTATCTATTATTAACAATCAGCGATAGTTACTACCAAAGATATGTAGAAAATAATGTTTACTTGTTTCATTTACACACCAAATTTTTTTGCTAACAGATTTTTTCTATTTACTAAATTTTTAATACCAATTTTTACTATCTAATTGTTCACCGTGTCGCCAACTCTGAAACCTCATTGTCATGTATTCGATCCATGCTCAATTTAGTTATCTTTTGATTACAGTTCTTTACTAAGCTTTTTTTTATTTATTTGCTAAAGTTAAAAATTAAAGCCGATAGGATAAAGTAAATAAATGAAGAGAATCCTTCCATCAGTATTATATATTCAGGAGCCATTCTACAACGAAGATAAATGTTGGTGAATTTGTTAGAGTTTCCTTTTATTATACAACGGCTTGTATTTAGTTTTTCTGACTTGATCCCTTTTTAATTTCTAGGTTACATGTTCTCGTTGTTTTATATCAATTTTTAGCAGATCGTTCAGGTGTTTCTTTGTATTTTCGCTTTTTTCCAGTTGAATTTCCTTCAGAATTCATCAACTCTCTTTTTCTATACCTCGCAGGTTATTTCAAGGTCTTCTATAGGGTGTGCTTATGCCTGTCATTTTTAGTATGGCTACAGGTTGGTCATTATTCATATCCGTAGATTCTTGATATTGAATGGACACCTTATTTTCATCTGGTTCAATTCCAATTCCATTTGTTGCTGAATTTAGGTATATAGGATTATCACTTTCAAGATTATCCGATTTCGAATTGTTGTTTTCAACCTAATTCAAGTAATATTCTAATACTTTGAAACCATCTTTGGTAGACTCTTGGTTATGAACACGTCTGATGCTTTCTCCTTTCAACAAAATTATTCATTCACTTATTTCAGCCAATTTATATACCATTTAAAATTTAATTTCACGGCTGTTTTTAGTAAGTAAATGATCAGTGTTATTTTAATTTTTCTTGTATAGTTCGTAAAGTATTTCCTACATCATTTCCAAGGCCTGGGGAAGTTGTGCGTCTCGATAGAGCTGTTACGAAAATTTTGGATATTATATCTTGGACTTCTTCTACTTGTCGTTTAGTCAGTATTACCAATATTCGATGCATTTTAATTATAATCGCTTGTATTTCCATTTTCTGTTCGATTTTTTTTGTTATGGCTTTCATAAACTTCGGCAGTTTTTTTCTTGTAATTTCTTTTGTGGTAGGCTTTGTAGTTCATTTTTTTTATTATATATTAGATACGGGTTTTGCCAGTTGTCTTTTGGCTTTTACAATATTGACATTTTGGCTAAATACATACTTTCAGTTGACCTTTTATGTTTCTTTAAGGTTTGGTCTATAAAAAGTTTTTTTTCATTTATTGGTTTTACGGACGTATTTTACAGCTTTTTTGTTCTATTCACAGATCAAGGATTTGATTTCTTAGCTTCGTTTCCTTTGAATAAGTAATGTTCAATCTCACAGCTACCTCCAAAAATGGTAGAGGTAAAATAATGACAACGTCTCTATTTGAGGCGTTTACGATTTGGCGAGTACTTTTCCCTAACCACTTAATGTTTTTACTAACATTAACAACTTTATTTATTACGTTTTAGACATTTAACGTTGGACATTATTATGACGAAGGAAAAGGATGAGCATAAGAGATTAATTTATTTTCAAAAATCCGCAGAGATCGGTAATGCCGATAAAATATATATAAGTTGGTAAGAAATTATTGTTATTTAATGGAATTGTTGCACATAAAATGCAGAAATTGGGGATGCCAGTGGAACACTTAATGTTAGATTTGTTATGACGAAGAAATTGGCGTGAAGAGAATAAACATAAGGTATTCATCC